AAGGTCACTGAGCCTGACGCAATGGGTGGAGACAGAAGATGTTGGGCAAGAGCAGCCTCCCTTCCACCTGAAGTACATGCTAACAAGGGTGGACATGTAGGGATGGACATATCACAGGTGTGACATTTTGATTGGCCTGTTACACTATCCTGGTTCTTGATTCTATTATGATTGTTTCCATATTCCCAAAAACCCTGAAAGTGTTTTGCACATTTGACCTGAAGCCTTTATAAAGAATGAAAGGACATAAACATTCACACAAAATTGTATACTGAATGGAAAGAGCTAGCCACCTCCCCTCACATCACATACCCCCACCCCAGATCACACCCTAACCTGTAACAAGCACTTGATCCGTTCTCCAGGGGTCATGATTCCTGTGGTGAATACGCCAGATAACATCCCAGCTGCAAATAGTTGGGGGTAGCTGTAGTGAAAACAAAAACCGGAGGCAAGCATCTGTGACTACCCACCCGGGACAGAGGCAATCCCAGCAGAGGATGACTTTGTAAGAAAAATAAGTACTTGGACTGGACAGAAGCCCAGCACAAATGAAACATATGTCACACAAAAGCCAAGTTCCGGGTATATTCTGATGTCAAACTTCCCAGGGCAGGGGTCTTAGTGCCAAAAGCCATATGAGGCCCACCTGCACACTTTGATGGCCTCGCCCATGGGAGAAGCTTTATAGTGAGACATGGTTTCCTTCCCTGGGCCTGCCACGCACAATGGCTATAGCCAAGTTTCCAGGCCTCTCTGAGCCTTAATTCCCCATCTGTAAAATTCAGGGTTGTTACGGGAAAAAGTGATTAGCCCAGGACTGGGATCTCTGTTGACCCCAGTTCCCCTCCAATCACACCTTCTCTGGATCACCAAGGGCCAGAGAGCATTTGAAGCCAAGATTCAAGGAGGAGGACAGCATCAAGGCCAGGGGGAACAGCTGTGGCCACCTCCACAGGCTGAGGGGCAGCCAGGCCAATTGTAAGGAATGTGCTAAAAGATGCTCAGAAAGGGCCAAACAGGGATGATACCCAGACAGGCATGATCCACGGGACATTCCGACTACCAACAGTCAAACACAGCTCCAAAGGACTCTACACACACCCGCCCACATTTGGGGCCACCGGTGGCTGTTCAGAGACGCTGGGCACATTCAGAGGGTCATAAGAACACCACAAATAAAGTGTCACATTACAAGTATCTCTACATATGTCCTAGACCCTTACTCAGCCTGCTGTGGCCTGAAGTAGTGACAAAGCCGCACGCATGGCACCCTCGGCTTCCTCCCCTGAGTTCCTGGATCCCAAGCCTGACCAGCCTGTGTGTGTCCCATGCTGCCTGCAGCCCCTCCCAGGAGTGATGGTCACCTTGCACAGCTCAGATGGAGAGCCCCTTAACAAACCATGTTTCCACCCAGAATTCCCCTGCATCCCAAGAAGTCTGTTTTCATGAACTACTTTGTCAATTTTGAACTGTAATTCTGACGCATCTGCCTCTTCATACCCAAATCCAACTTCTTAAAAGTTTATTAAAATGAAATACACCAATTTACTTCTCTTTTAACAGTGAAACCAATATCTGAAATAATTACAATCATGTTATAAAAATGAAGTAAAACAGAGGTGGGAAACTCCCTTTTCCCAACCAGGTGATGGAAAACAAGGCTGCTGCTGTCATTACTGCAGCAACAGGTACTGCTCTGGGCACCTGACACACAGTTTAGCATTCAGACCTCTCAACACCTTCAGGGCTGGTATTACTAATATCCCCAGTAAGCGATACTACTTCACAGAAGGAATTATGACAACCTGGTAAGGGGGTGAGGGACTTTTCCCCCTTTGGTTCACAGGGTTAAAGGAAACTCAAGTAGCTCCCTCACGCGGAGCTCCCAGGAGCCAGCCTCGGAGGCCAGGAGGACAGCCACTGCCTGTCGGCCAAGGTTCTTTCCTCCAACCCATATCACACCACCAGGCAGAGCAGCATCAAGCCCCCCAGGCCTGTAAGTACTCACCTGAGCACATCCTCCGGGTGTTTCTGTTGTAGCTTCTTCCCCAAACCAAACCCAAAGAAGCACACGGCGAACATAGGGGTGACCCCGATGAGAGGGGCAGCCATGCCCCGATACAGCCCTGTGACGCCCTGTAAAGAATCACAGAAGCAGAAGCTGTTTACAGACACCACCACCCTTTACACCACTGAAAAAGAGAAGCAGTGTGTCCACGCACCAGAGGCTCGCTTCCTTCACCTCTCCGCCAAGCAGAGAGAGCTTTTAAAAGGAAGAAAACCCCCACATGTATCACGAATAACTGTCCTTTTATATATTGCTGGAGAAAATAAAAAACAACTTCCATTCTGGAAGAAAATCTGGCAGTATATAAAAGTAGTATACCCTTTTATCAGGAAATGCTCAGTCTAGAAATTTATTCTAAGGAGATACTCAGAGATCTAAGAAAAGAAAAATGACATCAGGCATTTATCAGGTGCCAAAACTTTGGAATGAATCTAAAAGTTCCCAAATAGGAGATAAATGAGACAAATTACAGGAATTTCATGAACAGGCTATCACACAACCATCAAATCACACTGTAACATAAAAAGAGACTATTAAGCGGAAAAAAAAAAAGCAGGCTACAAAACAGGATGTACAGTATGATCTGACTTCCTTGGGGTGAGGTTACAGGTGATTAAGAAATTTTTGTGTTTTTCCAAGTATTAAGACATGGGATTTGTATTTTTAAAAACAATAGTAAGACTGCACATCAATTTTCACTAGTACAGTTTGGTAACGAAAGCAAGTATGTAGCGGCAATAAGTAAACAGTAAGACATATATATCCCAACAAAACAAGTTTAGTAAACCAAGGAAGAGAAAGGTCTGGGATCCGGGAGAGCAAAGGTTCAGCCTAAGGGAGGCGAAAGGGACTTCCAGGGTGGTGTTGGGTGCCTTAGGCCCGGGAAGAAACCAGTCCATAGGGGAGTATGTGGAGGGAGGACTCCTAGAGGCATGTTTCCAAGAAAAACAAAGCAAAACAACATACATTGGAAGAACAGATTATTACTGTTTAAGCAGTGTGGAAAACCAAACAGAAAGGTATTCTACAGAGCAGAATGGGTACAGGATGATAGACACAGCGATTCCAAGAAACACAAGCAACAGAAATTGACATAATTATTAACCCAACCTCAAGAAAAACAAAAAAGTTGCCCAAGAAATGAAATGCACATCACAGTATGTTTCTTAGTTAACAGAAAGAAACATACATGAAGTGGTAATCATGAAAACAGTGAATTGGATTAAATCACAAAGTGTGATAAAATTATATGGGCAGGGCAGAAAGAGGGGATAAGTAATGTAAGAGTTAAAATCGTCTACCACAAATAGGAAGCTAAAACATATAAAAATGTATAAAATATGGTAGTAAATGTGTACTATGTAGCTCTGTAGAAACAGCATAAACACTGAAAGCTCATAGTAGTTGCCCCTGGAGAATGGGGGTGAGGGAGGTGGAGGATGGGAAAAGATCACTTTGCTACTTTGTTACAAGCCTTTCAGTAACAAACTAAGTGCTTGTATCATTTTAATGCCAAATAAGGAATACTTTTAAAAACAAATACAAAACAATGTGAAAGTTGCTCCCTATAGAGAGTGGCAGAAGTTAACAACAAGGCTATACAATGGGAGGTCCAGGCCCAGGATGGAGAGCCTTCCTCACTGCAGACCCTGGCCATTTACAACCAATCTACTTTCCAGAACTAAAGGGACACAGCTTAGACACAGACAGTAGTTTAGTGGTTACAGAGGGGTAGGGGGGAAGGGGGTGGCAGATGAGGGTAAAGGGGGTCAAATACATGGTGCTAGAAGGAGAACTGACTCTGGGTGGTGAACATACAATGTGATATATAGGTGATGTATTACAAAATTGGACACCTGAAATCTATGTAACTTTGCTAACAATGTCACCCCCAATAAACCTTAATTAAAAAATAAAATAAAATAAAATAAAGGGCCACAGCTGTACCTGTCAGCAGCACTCCTCTTGGATCCTGCAAAAGTCAAACACTGCTACAGTCTATAAGCAGACTCCCCAAGATAAAGTACAGAGGCAGTAAACAGGAAAGGCTGAATAGGACAAAGAAGGTTCTGAGGAGGATCTACAAAAGCAGCAAGGGACAAAGTCCTTCCAAATCCCCTCCCCACAGCTCCTCACCTGACTCAGAAGGATGCTCAGGTCCTAAGGGGCCAAGCCCATGCCTCTCAACAACACTTCTAGTCTTCCTTCACAGCGCTGGCCCACCCAGGTCCATGGAGCACAACCAAGACCTCTGTCTGGCAGCTCCGGAAAGCGGAGAGCTAAGTGTGGCACAGTAAAAACCAGGGGCGCACACACATATGGACTAAGGAAGGCTAGTCAACAACTCTGCAGAGAGCTGGGTTTACACAAGCCATTCTTACTAGGTGCCCAACACCCAGCACACTGTCCAGACACTAAACAGGTGCTAATAATGTTTGCTGAGGCAGGGACATGTACATTCGCCTCTCTACCATAAGGGCAGAGGACTCTTAGCAGACCTGAAGCCTAAAGCCTTCATCGGACACTGATGAGGCTTTATCCAAGAAGGAACAGACAAAAGAAGGAGCACTTTGTGGAAGAAAAGGCAACACCATTTCACCCATGGATGCAAAAACCTTCCTCCCATGCCTGAGTCCTGCAGGAACCCTGGGAAACAACTTCTCCCCCAAGGCTGAGTCTATCAGTTACCAGAATCCTCTTTATCTGAGTGACACCTGCTTCTTAGTTTCTGTATATTTAATAAGGACTATGTATTTAATAGGGTATTTATTCATATGAGACTTATTTTAGGAAGCAAAGGAAAAGTTCTCAACAAGGTCTTTTCACACGTGTGCTAATGAAATGAGTAATAAATGTCACCAGCAATTAAAACTTTTTTTAAATCCCATGTTTTCGGGCCGGCCGAGTGGCGCGTTGGTTAAGAACTGGCTTGGGATGCCAGAGGGCCCCAGTTCGGATCCCACGTATGAGGGCCAGTGACACTGTCCTCTACAGCTAAGATGCTGAACAACAGCTCAACCTGGAGCTGGGCTGCAGTGAGTCACCGGCGACGGCGTAGGCTGCAGCCCCTGCTGCAGTGGGTTGCCATGGGCTACCGTGTGTAGCCAGCAGCCAGCGTGAGCGGCCAGCAGCCACAGTGAGCGGCCGTCCAGAAGCCGGCGACTGATCTGCCTCACGCGGGAAGAGCGCAATGATGGTGCCAACTTGGGCCAGTGAAGCAACGTCCTCCACAACTAGACTGAAGAACAAAAAGGACAGCAACTTGTCTGTTCCCCTTCCCCCAATTCCCCAGCGTTGTTCCTATCCCCCAATTCCCCAATAAAATCTTAAAAACAAAACAAAGCCTATGTTTTCACTCTAAGAAATATTTGAATAATTATTATGTAATCTGGTAGCTCCAAACCAAGTGAGTGTCCTTGTCGAGGGGTTTGAAGACTCTTCTGGCCTCTCTCACTATTCCTCAGATGGTTGACTTTTCCTCCAGACTTTATGGGAACTCCTGCCACCAACTGATTGACCCAGGTTTGCATTTTCTTCCATTTTGAGTCTCCAATTATTCCTCACTAATTCCCTGTGGTCTAAATTCTGCCTTCCAAAGGAAAGAACCATTTTATTAGCTTCAATCATCCTATAAAACAGTAGCTGAAACTAGCAAAGACTCCATAATGATAATAATAGGAAGGCATAGGATGGCACGGTGAGAGAACCGCTGCTGTGGAGCAGACCTCCGCAGAACTATACATAGTCACCCTATCCCCCCAAGGGAGTAACAAACGAACCCTGTGAATGTATTCCAAGTAAAAGAAATGCCCAGCACTGAGTATCATACCTCTTTAATAAGAGTCTTCCGGAAACAGTCAAAGGTCCCAGAATACATGGGAGGCTGTCCAGGCAAAGTTGGGGGCTGCGTCTGCAGTCGGACCTGAAATCAGAAGTTAAAATACAGTCATCTCCCAAAATCAGAACTGCCTGTCAGTAGCCCAACTGTCTGCCAAACTGAACAGAGAAAAGCCACACCTGTGTACATGTCTTCAGCATTCACTTAACCTGCTGGATTCAGACTTCTCTTTCCTCCAATTTGTTCAAACCCCGCACTGACAAGTCATTAGCAGCATGCATTTAGAGAGAGCAACACTTCCTCTGATTTCCTCATCCACTTACTTTCATCATTTATTTCTTATCTAATGGGTCCCCCATGACCCATGGGATAGGTATTCCCAGTTTACAGATGAGCAGACTGGATCTAGTGAGTTCCAGTGACATGCCAGGAACTAGCCGATGCAAAGCTTAGCTCTAGCCACCACCCCACTCTCATCTGTAGTGGCATGTTGGTGGTTAGGTAAGGTGCTCAACAAAGGCATTTTGGAGTGAGGTGGATTTAATCCTACTGTTCTTGGTTCTCATCCTTCTTGATCTTTTGGTGTATCCAATGCTTCAAACTGTCTCTCTTTTAAACCTCCCCTCTTAGTCCTTCTTTGTCTCCTTTTCTACTCCAGGCGTTCTCCAAAGCTTAGCACCCTACTCCTCTGGTCCACCATTCCTTTCAGAAAACCCAGATTCCAGGGCTTCAGCTGCTGCTCATTGGTGACTATCACTGGGCCATCTCCAGACTTTCTCTCCCCACCTTTAGGGCTACATTCCCAACTGCCTGGAGAAGCTCTCCCTACGGAAATCACCTCCAGAAGCTCACCCTCCTATGAATGTGCCATTTGTGCCAGAGCCACCTAACCACCCTCTTTCTCAGGATCTGAAACCCTGGCATCACCTCTGGCTACTTCCTGCGGCTCTTCCTGCTTTCATCACACGAGGACCAAGTCTGTTGGAGTAATCGTTCAAGATGCTTCCAGAATCTTCATTTCTTCCTCTCTGTGTCTGAGTCTTCTCTTAGGCCAAGTCCTCACCCATCCTTATCCAGTGTGGTCGTTTTCAATTATGTCCACCAATTCTTTGACACTCTTCCCCTTCGAAAGGTAAGTCCTAATTTTCTTGAATGTGGGCCAGACTCAGTGACTCATTTCTATCAAATAGAATGTGGTGGTATTGAACTTTTGTGACTTTTTCAAGATGATAAAAAGGTCAGTTTCTGACGGTGTCCATCTCAGGTTATTTGCTTTGGGGAAAGGCAACCACCTTGTCATCAGGACACTCAAGCAGCCTGGAGAGGCCATGTGCAGAAGAAAGAAAGCCTCCTGATAACAACCAGCACCAACTTGCCAGCATATGAATGAAGCACATGGAAGCCAATCCTTCAGATGAGGGTAGTCCCAGACAACATATTTATCTTTGGTCCAGTATTGTTTTTTTCTAACAGTTTTATTAATATATAATTCACATATCATAAAATTCACTATTTAAATTGTACATACAGTTCAATGGTTTGTAGTATATTCACAGTTGTGCAACCTTCCTTACAATCAATTTTAGAACATTTTCATCGCCCTCAAAAGAAACACCACACCCATTTGTAGTCACTCCCCTTCCCATCTCCTCTCAGCCCCTGCCAATCACTAAACTACTTTCTGTCTCTATGGATTTTCCTATTGTGTGTATTTCATATAAATGAAATAATATAATATGTGGTCTTTCACACCTGGCTTCTTTTCCTTAGCATAATGTTTTCAAAGTTCATCTATGTTGTAGACTGTATCAGTCCTTCATTCCTTTTTATTGGTGAATAATATTCCATTGTACTACATTTGTTTATCTGTTCATCAGATACTGGACATTTGCTTTTTTTCCCACTTTTTGATTATTAGGAATAATGGGGCTATAAACTTTTGTGTACAGGCTTTTGTGTGGACATCTGTTTTCAATTATCTTGGGTATTGCATTGGTCAGGATTGTCCAGAGACGCAGAACCAACAGGAAATGGAGATTGATTTATTTACTTATTCATTTATATTTATTATAAGGAACTGGCTCCACACAATTATAGAGGCAGGCAAAGCACAAGATTTGCAGTCAGCAAGCTGGAGACCCAGGAGAGCCAAACAGTATTGGAACAAAAGCAGACACACAGACCAATGGAACAGAATTAAGAGTCCAGGAATAAACCCACACATATATGAATAATTAACTTACCACACAGGAGTCAAGAACATACAATGAAGAAAGGGCAGTCTCTTCAATAAACATCTCACACAAAAGAATAAAACTAGACCACTACCTTACATCATAGGCGAAAATTAACTCAAAATGGATTAATGACTGGAATGTAAGGCCTGAAACCATAAAGTTCCTGGAACATAAACAGTAAGCTCCTTGACACAGGTCTTACGGATGTTTTTGTGCATCTGACTCCAAAGGCAAGGAAACAAAAGCAAAAATAAACAAATGGGACTACATCAAAGTAAAAAGCTTCTGCACAACAAAGGAAACCAGCATCAAAACAAAAAGGCAACCCACTGAAAGGGAGAAGATATTTGCAAATCATAGATCCTGTAAGGGGTTAAAATCCAAAATATACAAAGAATTCACGCAACTCAACAACAAAAAAACCCTAAACAACCCATTTAAAAGATGGACAGAGGATCAGAATAGACATTTTTCCAAAGAATAGACATCCTACGGATGGCCAACAGGCACATGAAAAGATGTTCATCATCACTTAGAATGGCTATTATCAAAAGACAAGAAATAACAAGTGTTGGAGAGGATGTAGAAACAAGGGAATGCTTGCACACTGTTGTAGGATTGTAAATTGGTGCAGCCACTATGGAAAACAGTATGGAGGTTCCTCAAAAACCATAAGATCCAGCAATTCCACTTCTGGGTATATATCCAAAGCATATGAAAACATTTCAAAAAGACATATGCACCCCTACATTCATTGCAGCATTATTTACAATAGCCAAGGTATAGAAACAACCTAAGGGTCCATGGATGGATGAATGGATAAAGAAGATGTGAGATATATATATATATATATATGTGTGTGTGTGTGTGTGTGTGTGTACATATATATATATATAATTATGATTTTGTACACCTGAAACTTTTTTTTTTTTTAAGTAGGAAAACAGGCCAGACAACTCTTTCCCCATATTAGACAGTGCTGCTTAGAATAACCACTCTCTGGGAAGCACTAATACACACAGCATATTACCATCAGCTGAATTCATGTTTCACAATGCCCTAACCAGACCGGTTGCTTTAATCCTGGTCTTGTTAGGAGTGACCCCAGCTCCTCTCCTAGATGTAAGACAGCAAACATGCAAAGAGAAAGTGCCCCAAAGCTATTCCCCTGTGGAGGAAACCTGATCTGACATTCTAATAAGATCCCTACACAGGCTTCTCACTCTGTGGGAAGAGTCATGTCTGCTCCCCACAGGACCACAGTGACCTTGATCTGTCAATTTTCTCCAAGCGTGTATCCAGAAATAAGGTTAGAAAACTAGGGTGAAGCTTTAAATGCTAGCTAAGTCACATGGTGTGGACTTTAACCACCAGCAAGGCCTGGCTGAAAAGTGCTGCAGAGGGAAGAGTGAGGAAGACCGGGGAACAAGGCCTGAGGAGTTTCCTCCTTCCCAGAGCCTCAGTTTGACCATGGGGTCCTCACCTGGGAGTGGTGAGGGTCAGCCTGGTACTGGGCAAAGTCGGTCACTGGCTTTCCTTGGCTGGGGCTCAGTCACTGAGGACGTCATCGCTTCCCACAGGAGCCCGCTCACTAACATGGGACGACAGGCTGTAGATGGCCAAGCCCCTCTTGGGCGGGGAAACGTGCAAAGAAGATGGTAATGAGGCAGTCTGGCCCCAGAGGGATGTGTCAAAAGACATCTCGGACATAGCCGTGCCTCTGTCTTTAGCTCTCTTCCTGAGGGGGGCTTTACAGGTGACCTGTTTCAATCTTGCTGGTAATGTTAGGGGTTGCTGAAGTCACAGCTTTGGGGAGGCGCTTTTTCTTTCCCAGGTCCAAAGAGGCGCGCAAGGTCAGGAGAGGCTGCGGGAGAGAGCTTTAAATCAGAGCCCTTGCTGGACGGTTCAGAGGCTGCTCACTGCACGATTCAGCTCTCTGCGGGCAAGGAACTGCTCCCCACAAACCCCAAAAGGGGAAAAAGGGAGATTCTCAAAACTTCTCACGGAAGCTCCCACTGGCCCCCTTTCTGTCCCGGGCCGCGCCTCGAGGGGGAGAACCTGCTTTCCACGCCCCGCCCGGGCCTCGTTCCCCCCAGCCTCCTCGCACCTTGACGGTGTCCAACGGGTGCCCAACAAACACTAGGCACATGCCGCCAAAGCCGCCGGCCAGTAGGTTCTTGAGCGGGCTGATGGGCTTCGCCTGATCTGCCATGGTCCGTCTGTCCGTCAGTGCAGCTGTGCGTTCCCCGCCGCCTAGCTTCACTGCTCAAGTCGCAGTGCCGGCGCCGCCGACCTTTCACCCACTTTCTCGTGGGCGGGGCAGGAGCCCGGAGCAGGTCGGGAGGAGGATCTAGAGACTGTCCTGCACGGCTTCCGCCTTGGGGGCTGCTTCCTGCCGCGGCCCCGCCCCGACGGGCGTGGCTTGAGGGAGCTTGGCAGGCCGTGACGCGATCTGGGCTGAGTTTGGATGTGCCAACGGATGGATTTACTCCTCCAAGAAGTCTTTACGGACTTAAATGTTTCTTTCTCTGCCCATTCCTCCACTCACTCAACAGAAGTCGACTGCGTTCTGCTATGTGTCAGGCGCCCATCCAAGTGCTGGAAGCACAGCTGGTAGCACAGCATACGGATCCCTGTTCTTGTGGAGCTTATAGACTATAACAGAAATAAATTAAGTGGAAAACGCATAGCGAGCAAGTGGTGATAACTACTACGGAGAAAAATAAACCCTGAAAGAGGGTTAGGGAGTGAGGATGGCGGCGGGGGCGGGGGGAGGCAGCGTAATTTGCAATTTTAATTAGGTGAGTTAAGTGAGTGTTTCTCCGAGAAGGCGACTGGATTCAAGACCGAAGAAAGTGAGAGAGTGAGTCCTGTCCATAGACACGGGGTAGAGGTTGATGGGCCTTCCAGGCAGAGGAAAAGAAAGTACAAAAGCCCTGAGATGGTCTGTGCCTGGGCGGTTTGAGAAATCAAAGGGAATTCTTTGTGGCTAGAACAGAGTGAGGGAGAGCAAGAGCAGCAGCTAATAAAGACATGGAATATGGAGGTGATGGTAGCATGCAAAGCAGACTTTGTGTGTCACTGTGAGGAGGACATCAGCTTCTCTAAAGGAGATGGGAGCCATTCTAGAGTTTTGAGCAGGGGAGTGACATAGTCTGACTTATGAGTTAACAGGAGCCCTCTGCTGGGTGAGAATATACTGTAGAGAGCAAGGAGGAAGTAGGGAGCCTTGAGGAGGCTGAAGGTCACTGTCAGAGACACTCGCATTGCAGGGCG